GTTTGTTAATATTCGTCTAAATATTCGAAGAATATTTTGGCGAATAAAAAGAAATCGTTTCATCAATGATGAGGGTCGTCTCTAAGTGACAGTAAGAAAAAAAACAAGACGAATGGTATTCCAGTTTGACGTAACTGAGAAATAGAATGCAAACTTTCGAATAACAATTATCGAATAATCGATATGACTTTAGAGAACGAATTATCATTTATACGATTGAATATAAAAGTATTTTATTGATATTTTATTTACGCGATTTACTTGAATTCGTGGGTTCGCATTGAAAAAAAAAAGTAACCTTTCGAACAATTAATTATTCACATTGAGAGACAAAATGAATATGAGACAGCGAAATTTATTGTTAGAAAAAAGCCTATTAATATATGTGAACATCTTGTTAATGAATCTGATCGATTGATGATATTATTCACAATTTCAAATTGATTGTCTATTATCAAATTTAATTGACAAATGTTATTTAAAAAATAATGATCTGTCTTACTTTAATTATATTCAAGTTTAAAAACAAACAAACTAATTTGACAAAACTAAACCTCATTCCAGATTTGTTTCAAAATAAATCAATCTGCTACTAAAGATTATCAAAGAGATAATATCAATTGAATATAATTATTTTTATCTCGTGTTTTATCAAATATTTTTTGAGTATTATGGTTTTCGAATCATTTGCCATTGAAAATATGAACTTTGAAATTGTACATAGAGAAAGGAACAAATATAAATATTATCTGTCATAGAATACAATTAATAAGTCAAGTTGATAATAAACAGGAAAACTAAAAGTTAGTTGAGATATCATTTTTATCAATTTCTTTTTAAATTCCAAAAATACAGTGAAAAAGATTTTTTTGTTTTGAATTAATAAACAACGTAAACATAGTTGAAGTATAGATTGACGAAGTCATTGAAGGAATCCACACCCTAATTTATTCCGAAGGAAAAGAAAATTTATTCGAATCATTTTCAAGTTAGACAAATTTATTTAAAATAATCAATCAAATGGACGACGCTGAAATGATCTCGGAAAAAATAGGGAAATTGATCTCGGAGTGCTAAATTAGTCCAAAAAATGACGAAATTGATCTCGTTTTTTTCTGAGTACGAATTATGAGGAAATGATCTCGGAGAAAACCTTATTAACTTTGAATCAACAAAATTAGAGGAAAAGATCTCGGTTGGATATGATAAAAAGAAAATGGTAATATAGTGTCCCACTTTATGTGTTTACTGATAAACAGAGAATAGTATTATAACGAAATACAATAATTTTATATTTATTACTATCCAATACAAAAAATATAAGAAAAGGTGTATAAAAAATCAGTCCTTCGACAATGAGTATTTAACCTTTTTTTCTCCGTCCTTTCCCATTTCTTTTACTAATTAACTGTGGAGTTGTTCGAACTCCCCAGATCATCCTTAGACCTGTTGAATAGATACATGAATGTTGCTTCAGATTAAATTTATACGAACAGAATATTGGATGTAACGTGTTAGAAAAATTTTAAATTCATGCTGAATTCAACTAGTGTTTAAAATGATCATACGATAACCAAGACATTGAATAAAAATAATGCACCCAAGCGCAAGTAGTCAATTGAGACTCTGCTGCTGGAACCACAAATGTAAATGCATCTGATTGTAATATTTCGCTTCTATCAACTTTATGAGTCCAATCATAAGCTTTAATATTCAGATCAGCATCCATGTTTAAATGTATTTGAAACGGATGTTGTACTATATTCATTGACCAATCGCTCAACATGTCGTCAGATAAATCATTTTTACTGTCCTGCTCATTCTTTCTATTCATCATATGGACTGCTTTCTATATAACTATATATGCATATATATGAAAAAAACCGAGATCTTTTTCTCTAATTTACACCCTTCTCTATTAATGAGCTTTTTTCCGAGATAAATTCCATTTTTTCCCAATCAAATTATTCAAGAAATTTTCTTTCATTTATAAATTAATTTATCTTTGAATTTTTCCATTTATTTTTCTAAATAAATAATTTATATTCTTTTTTCTTTTTATAGAAATCGAAACTTACTCGAATGAAATTCTTTGTTTATCTCTATGTGATTTATATATATATATATATATATATTGATCACCGATAAATAATATGTGAAAAATATTCTTAGTAGTTCTTAATTTATTACCATGATGATTTCGTATATTGAGTAAAGCCATTTTATCTTTTTAACATTTTCATTGTTTTATCATACGAATCAGAGATAAAACATATATCGATGGACAGATACTGTATTATCTATAGATTTCAAAAAAATGATTGCAAGAAAGATCGATTTGATAGTCTCAGTTCAATGGTGGAAAATTTTACATGGATTCTATTCGAAAAAATAAACAATACTTTATTAAATTAACAATAGAAAAAATGGTGTTGTTCTTTCAATAGTGATTGATTTTAGTTTGATGTAAAAAATAAAGTAGAAAGATCTACGAAATTTTTTTTATATCTGTTTCATTTTGTTTTTATTTCGATTCATATTCTAATAAAGACAAATATTATTAAGATTTTCCTAGTTTTATTTTATTTTGTTTCATGTTTAATAAAACATATTTTTCTCTCTAGATGTTGTAAACTGTAAACTAGTTAGGTAATTTGTAATGCATAATTAATAATAATTTTTAAAAAGATAAATAAATATTGATTATCTTAATAGAAATAAAATTCACAATAAAATAAATATAAAATAAATTAGATTTATTTAAATGAAAATACAATCTTATTTATCAATCATAATTTAACAAAAAAATTTCATTCTATTCGATTTGACAATTCGAAAGAATTATTAAAAAAAAAAAGGTCAATCTTAATATCTATGAGATAAATCAATATAATAGAAAAATAATTATGTTTAGGAATTGTTGTTAAAAAAATTTTGAATTGCTAAAAATAATAAAATGAAATCTTGTTTAAGTTATTTAATTAGTTAAATTGGTCTTATTTAATGAATTAAAATCGAATTATTTAAATGATTAAAATTGAATAAAAAAGATAAAAAAATCTAATAAAGTAAAAAAAAAAAAGAACGAATCACAGTTGATTAGCTTCTTCTTGCGGTACCATAATAAGTTTAAAAACATGTTGTTGTTGTTGAAGGAATTGATTTTCTCTTGAATGATCTAATGTTGCTTGTTGTTCACATTTTTCACAATATGTTAATGATGGACAATGAACACAATCAAAACGAATTCCAACAACATCATTTTGACAATGATCACATCTAAATCAAATCAATTTGTTCTATCTTCAAAAAAATGTTTCAAATGAAAACTAACTTAACACCATTATGATGAACAACAGGATTTTCTGGTTTGGGAAGATCAAGAATAACTTGTTTTGGTTGAGGTGTAGCTGCTGCGTTATATTGTTGTGCTTGTGCCCAATTAAATTTAGCTCCACAACCCGATTGAAGATTTCCACCATGTGCATCTTGTCCACATACCATTGAATCACAACCTTCAAGACGTTGAACAACACGTTTACATTGTGGACAAAGACGACAATTATCAGCTTTATATTTTTCATCATTCATTAATTCATCATAACGACGACGTAAATCACGATTTCGATTTTCATTTTCATTATTTTGACGATTATAATCAGATAATTGTGTTGCATATGCAGCATCTTGTTGAGCTCTCATTGTTAAATAACGACCACGTTCTTATTAAGAATTTAAAAAAAAAACGAAATTTAAAAAAAATAAAAAAGAGCAAAACTCGAACCTGTTTGACACCAAAAAAACCATCGTTGAGTTATTTGTGGAAGTTGTTGACATGTTGTACGATAATGATATTGTTGATTACAAAGTGAACAAAATTCTTTATTACAAATTGGACAAGTTACTCGAAAACGTTCATTTGGATCAGCAGCTTCAGCTATCCATAGACAATTTTGATTTGGACATTTAATTATACCACGAGTACGACTTGAATATGCATCAAATGTTTTTTTTATTTGATAATCTCGAATTTTTTTTAATTCATCATTCGAAATTCGAAGTTGATTAAGTTCACCCTCTCGTAATGGATTTGTACAAAGTGCGCATGTTAAAATTTCTCCATTATTCATTTTTGTTTTACATGATTCATAATAACATGAATAACATAATTTATGATTATCAGAACAATCAAATACATATATATCATCATATGGACATGATTCCATACAAACATCACAATCTCGTGTTGCCATTTCATATGGAAATATTGATCCTATATTCAAATTTTTAAATATATTTCAATATAATTTTGAAAAAATTAATTACCGAATATAGCAAGAGCATCAATTATCGACCAAGGATCCATATTTGAATGACTATTTTTACTTTGTTGATCAATAAAATGACGAATTTGATTTTTTGTAAATGGATATTTTGTTTTATTTAAAATAAAATTCGTTAATTTTTCATTATATGATGTTTTATCATGTCGACATTCGCTTGCATGAATTTCTAATTGTTTAAATGGATATGGTAATTGACAATATTCACAAGGTATAAGATCATCACATGATTCAACATGTTCATCAAAATCTTCACATTGATTTAAATCAATATAAAAACGACATTTAGAACAATGTGGTCTTTGTTGACCTTTAACAAGTTTTAAAAGTCGATCAGAAATACGTCGTTCAAGTGGTATTAATGATATATCATATCGAGAAAATTCATAATCACATAAACTTTTATGACATACTGGTGCTTGACCATTTCGAGCAAATTCTTCCATTGAACGTTGAAGACATACTAAACAATGATTATGATGAGAATGACAATTTATTTCTCTATATAAACCATCTTGTTTATTTATTGGACGATTACTAAATATATATTTTATTTTTAATATTACTTATTATTATTATTATTATTTACCATGTTAAACATTTAAGATTTGTTCTTGTTGATGAAGTTGATAATTGATTATCTGTTTGAGCTACACATGCTAATACATGAGATTCATATTCAGATAAATCAATGGGTTTAAAACAAATAATACAATCTTTTTTTTGTTTTGTATTTATATTAGATGAATTTTTATCATGCTAAACAGATGTATTTTTTTTTACAAAAAATTTTATAATTATTAACAAAATGATAAATATTACTTTTTCAATAGAATTTAATCTTGTTCTATGATCATTTTCATTTAAATTCTTCATTGAAGATGATGATGATGATGATGATGATGAACATGATGCAACATGTTTAACATATTCATATTCAGGAATAGAATTCGAACATATTCTACAACGTTTTTTGTTATTTGTCTAAAAATTATTTTAATTATTTAAAAAGAAAAAAATTCTTATTAAAAATAAAAACTTGTGTAGAAATTTTCTTATTCTGCATCGTAGTATTTGGTTGTTCATACGAACATATTGAAATATGTTCTTCATATTCTAGTTCATTGATTAATTCAGAGCATAAAATACATTTTTTTTTCTGTTCAGTTTTTGAATTCGAATATGTTGACGAAATCTATAATTTAATTAAATATAATTAATTAAAAATAAACAAACACAAACTATTGAATCATTTCTTGAATATTGTAAATCATCATAAGAATTATCAATATTATTATTATTTGAACAAGATGCAACATGATCTTCATATTCGGATTGATCAATATCTTTCGAACATAAAATACAACGTTTTCTTCTATTCATTTTTGAATTTGTTCCTTTTTCAATCTTTCGTTCCATCTATTTGTTTTTAAAATAAAATATAAAAATAAGAATTAAAAAAAAATATATATTTATTTTTTAACTTCGATTTCAAGTCGAACTTATTTTTGCTATTTTATATTAATTTTAACTATTAAAATATCTCAAACTAATCCATTTTATGTTCTATAACAAGTCTAATTATTCGTTTTAGAACTATTCAACAATTTTTTCGTATATAATCAATAATAACAACAACAATTATTTATGATTTATATTGAAAATTACTTGTATTGAAGTGTTTTGTTTTTGATTGTATTTATTATTATTTGAATAATTGTCATTGTTTGAACAAGATGATATATGATTTTTATAATCTGATTGATCGATATGTTGTAAACATGAAATACATTGTTTTGTTTGTTTTTTATTTGAATTAATTCTTTGATCTTGATCATTCTAATTATTTAAAATAATAATTAAATATTATACTTAAAAAAAAATCAAACTTGTGAAGTAAATAATGTTGAATATGGTTTTTCATTTGAATATTTGGTCGGTTTCATAAATGAAGATGTATTATCAATTGAACAAGATGCAACATGATCTTCATAATCTGATTGATCAATATCTTTCGAACATAAAACACAACGTTTTGTTCGTTTTTTCTTTAAAGTATTTAGTTCTTTTACAGAATTTTTATCGATCTAATAATTTATAAATGAATAATTAATAAAACTTAAATTAAAAAAACATATTTACTTGTGACGAATATATATTCTCATTTGACTTTTTATTATGATTATCTGGTCGATTTTCATCAGCTGAACAATATGATACATGATCTTCATAGTCTGATTGATCAATATCTTTCGAACATAAAATACAATATTTTGTTGGTTTTTTATTTGAGACAACTCTTTGATTATTTGTTTTCTAATTATTTAGAGAAAAAATAAATAGAAAACAAAAAAAAAAACAAGTAAAAATCAAAATATTACTTCTATTGAAGTGTTTTCTTGTTGAACGTCTTGATCATTTGAAGAATAACCATCGATTGAACAAGATGATATATGATTCTCATAATCTGATTGATCAATATCTTTTGAACATAAAACACAATGTTTTTTTTGCTCGTTTTTTAAAGAAATCATCCCTATTGAGGCTTCTGTTAGAGTCTATTATGTATTATTTAAATATCAACTGAGTTAAAAAACAAAAATCAAATAAAACCTGTGTTGGCGTTGATGCTCTTGGTGTTGAGTATCCATTATCATTATTCTCACATGATTGACAATGTGAATTTAATTCGTCGAGAATATTTCCACAATTGGGACAGTTTTTCTTGTTTGGTAATGTATCTTCTTGTTGATTACAGGTTGCAACATGTTGTGAATGTTGTTTAATAGGTATTTGTTTGTTACATAAGACACATAATTTATAGTCAGTTAATGATCGAGGTCGACAATTAAGTATATGATGACGAATATGTTTATCAGATATAAGATCTTGACATGCTACACATCGACTATAACCGGGAAAATGACTTCTTTCCATAAATAATTATTGTAAATAATTTAAACGATTGAAAATTTTAATTGTTTTAATAAAATAAATTTAATACTGAAAGAATTAAAATAACGATAAAAATATTTATTGTTTTCTTTTTATTTGGATTTCAAATGGGTGATGCAAGTAGGAAAAAAGTCAATCGATGAATGACTGAATGAATGATAAATATCTTAACAGCCACTGGTTCTCAGTCGATGACAAACTAACTTATACATCGAAGATGTCGCATATTTATTATAATTTTTTAAAAATAATATTGATTTGATTTAATTCATATTCATATTGTATTCAATTAAAAATAAAAATCATTGTTTTTCTGAAAAATAAAATATTTATCGAAGAATTGATATATACAACAAGACTTTTGAGATTGATTCAATTGAATCGAAATTGATTTTTCTCGAATCTTAATTTAATTTTTTCTAAATACAAGGTGGCGCAAAAATCACTTTACCGAAAAACAAAAATTTGGATATCTCCACTAGGGTTCGAGCAAACGAACTGATTTTTTTATCAATGATAAAGGCATCCTTAAGCTTTATATTCATAAAGACATACCTAGAGAGATCCTTTGTTAAGTATCACTATTGATCTCAACAAAAAATTTTTTACTTTCTCATAGCTAGGATAAAAAAACAATATACTTAGCAAAAGATCTCTTTAGGCATATTTTTATGAATATAAAGCTTGACGATGCCTCTATCATTGATAAAAAAATCAACTCGTTTGCTCGAGCTATACTGGAGATATTCAATTTTTTTCAGTAAAGCGGCTTTCGCAACATCCTGTATATTGTTTTTTTCATCCTATCTGTGATAAAGTAAAATTTTTTTGTTAAGGTCAATAGTGATACTTAACAAAAGGATCTCTCTAGGCATGTCTTTATGAATATAAAGCTTAAGCTTGCCTCTATCATTGATAAAAAAGTCAGCTCGTTTGTTTGAACCCTAGTGGAGATATCCAATTTTTGTTTTTCGGTAAAGTGACTTATGTGCCACCCTGTATAAATCTATATTCAACTAAATTCTATATTGATTCGGTTGAGAGTTCGTTTAAAATGATGATCTACACAGGTAAGATAGAGCCTAAAGAATATTTTCTTTTTTTCAAAACTCACCATAGAAAACTTATTCTTTAACAATCAAATAGTTTTATCTGATGTTTAGGTTTTTTTTTGTTTTTTGATAATGTCTATAACGTCGTTGACGTATAAAAGATCAGAAAATGAATTCAATGTAACAGATATTATTTTGTCAATAAAACCCGTATTAGATATACAATCAATTAATGAACAAAGATAATATAACGTTTTTTATTTACTTACAGATGACAAGAGAAAGACAATATATTATTGAAGATAAATAGTAAAAAGTGATTTAGTAATAAATTAGAACTTTTATAAGACTAGTCTAGTAAATAAGAAACAAATGTCAGTTATCGACTGACTTATATAATTGTTATTGTGTCTAAAAGTAGTTTATCATTTGTTTTCAATTGATAATTTTGTTAATGTTGTTTATGCTTGTCGTGTGAGATTTAAATAGATTTAACCTATAGTTTATCTGTTACTAGAATCAGGACTGATTTTCTGATGGACTTCTATAGATAATTCTATGAGATGTTAATAGAAAAAAAAACATAAAGTTCTCTTTAATTGTCTACTATCGAAAGAAAAATATTTCTAAAGATCAAACAAAGGCATTAGATGAAGACAAACAAGAACGACTAATAGTCTATTCATAAAAAAAAGTTTCACATTGCAACGGATCACTTTCTTATATTGTGTTTTTATTCAATAAAAACGACAAATTCATATGTTTACAATGGTTATGTCGAAGTTAAATAGGTGTTAACATTATTTTAATATTTATTCTCTATGATATAAATAGATTTATTTATAATTAAATAATAAATAAATCGAAGTTACTTAACTACTAGTTTACTGACAAAAGAGTTGCTATATGAATGATTTGATATTAAAAATGTTATCTCATTATTTGATGATGAAACTTCTCAATAGACATGTGTTTATATCTATTCGATTTTATTTATATTAAACAACTAGTTTATATAGAGTTTAGTATCGTTTCTTTTTTTTTATTTAGTCATAAATAATATAATCGAACAGATGATAATTGACTGTAATTATCAAGAATTTGTTTTTTTAAATTTTTCTTAAAACTAAATATTCAATATTGAATGTTTCATTTTTTTTTGTTTTACTATTTAAATTGAAATAAATGAAATATTGAATGATTTAAATAAATTTATATTATTGATTATAAATTCATTGAATTCAATAATGAACTCAATATGTAACTAAAGAGTTTTTTTTTATTCGTTTCTTTTTTATGTCGTAGATTTAAATGATAATGTATACATATATAAAAGTAAATATAATATATAATGATTTCATATTGATATATACAATAAAATAATGTTTGTTAATGTAGGTGAAGGTTTGCAAAGAATAGTCCATATATAAATAATAACTAAAAATGATAAATGATTATCATTTTTAAAATAGATTCGACGAACAAGAGAAGGAAAAAAAAGCACAACGTCTTACATAAAAAGTTGATAATGATTGTATTAATGTATGTATCTGTTTTAATATTAATGACAAGAGCTGAACAAAATTTCTCATTAAAATTATTAAATTCTTGTTCATCAAATTTATCTTGTATTCATGGAATATGTTATACAGATCAAAATATATCATCATGTTTATGTGAACGTGGTTGGACATTATCTCAATCTCAACCTCAAATTTGTATTTATCAACAAAAATCAAAATTAGCTGCATTTCTTCTATCATTTTTTGTTGGTGGATTTGGTGCTGATTGGTTTTATTTAAGTGTTGGAAATGGTGGTTATATTGCAGCTGGAGTTTTTAAAATGTTAACTTTAGGTGGAATTGGAATTTGGTGGCTTGTTGATTGGATGAGAATATTAACAAATTCATTTCTTGATGGACAAGGTGTTGCTCTACTTGAATGGTCTCCATGAAAATTAATTAAACGACAAAAAACTTTTCATTTTATTTTATTCGTTTTTCTTTTTTTTTTTGTATTGTATAACAAATGTTTGTGTTTGATCCAAGGTTATTATTTGTCTTAGAAACAAATGATTGATTTCGAACAGTTGCTAAAATAAATCGAACATATTTAAACGTGAAATAAAATGAATGAAAGTTGAACAAAATTCATAGTAGAAAGAGAACAATGAAGATGATTATGATCACTATCTTATCTATTTTACTTCTAAGTGAAGGTGTCGAGTTTTTTTTTAATCGATATCACATAAGGTATTTATTGTGTTGTTTTTTTTTTTGTTCAGCTCAATATATCGATGATCAATTGAATAATGATATAACATCAACAATGAATTCTTTTATTTTGACAAAACAAACAGAAAATGCATCAGTTAAAGATGAAGATAAAACTATATTAATAGAGTCATCAACTGAATACATATTTGATAAATTAAATCAAAATGAAACAAGTTCATCAATGAGTTTAAATCATTTAACCGATATTATAACATCAACAATCAATAGTGATACATCATTCTCAACATATATTCTATCATCTATCAATGATTTTCAATATACAACACATAGAAATGATATTTTATATAGAAAAGAACAATGGTTTAATTATAATCAAACAAATCAAAAAGATTCTTATGATTATTCGATATTTTGGAGAAAAATACATGGTAAAAAAAAGAACATTTTTTGTTTTTTCTTAAATAAAATTTGTCTATAAAAAACTAAAGATGAATCATTGGATAGTTCAACTTATATACTAAAATCTGAAGGTGAATGTGTTGATCGTATGTGTTATGTTAAATTGAAATATAATGGTTCATTATCAAATAATAATGATGGTTGTTTATCATTTATTCTTTGGACACGAGGTCAACCAGGTAAAAGTTTGTTTGTTTGTGTTTTTTGTTTAAATATATTATTGATTTTATTTTAGTTGGACAATTATGGATTGAAGAAGATGAAGAACAAGAAAATATTTCACAAAAAATTCAATTAACGAATTCAAGTTTACGTATTGAACATTCATTAAAACCAAAAACAAAAAATGTAAAGAATAAATTTTTATTAGGAAAACAAATTAAATAACTAATTTGAAAATTTCTAGTTATCAATTGATGCTCGAATATTATTTCGAAATTCGAATACTGATTCAATAACTTTATCTAATTTAAATGTTAATTGGAAAGGATCTTGTCCAAAGCATCATTCAAGTAATCATTTTATATTTATTTATTTTATATCATTTATATATATATATATATATATTCATAGTGACAGCATATCCCTATATAAATATCGATACATCGACATTAGAATATGAATTAACAACATTGACCAATTATGATTTATCTGAAACAAGTTTTTTACCAACAACTGATAGATTTGAAATAAGTGAAGATTATTTATTCATTGAATCATCAACAATTATATTTAATGAGAAATTAAAAAATCAACGTTCATATTCATTAGTTAATCAATCGAATATTCGATGGATTTTAACATTAATTATATTATTTTGTTTATTTATTATTCTACTTTCATTTCTATATGGTTTATGGTCAATACAAGAATATTATCGTTTTACTTGGTATGTTCATTTTAATTATCCAATTCAATTAATTAGTCGACGATCAATTCATTCATCAACAAGATCAGAATGTGAAATTGAAAGATTTTCCTCAATATCCAATGATATTTTTCATATAGATTATCAACAAGAGGATTTTGATAGTTTGACAATGAATAGTAGTCAATCAATACCATCACCAACTCATGCTTATTTTTAATTTTCATTATCTTTAATATTAATTAAATGTTAAACGAAATTTTCAATATCAATATTATTATAATAAACTTTTTTCTTTTCTTTTTGCATCATTAAATAAATAAACATTGCTTTTTTTTTCAATTAACATTGGATTGAAATTGACTAAAAAGAAGATGAATAAATAAAAATGATTTTATATTTGATTAAAATTTGAAAAATTCATTTTTTTTTCAATGTTTATTATTGTCGAAAAAGATCAAATGTTTCATATCGTTAGTCAAATCGGTAAGCATAAGTTCAATCAAACGAGATCATCCATTGGTTTTTTTATTTGATTCAACTTGCAAGACAAATGATAAGTCGAAAACTTTTACCGTAGCTTTGTAAACACTTAGTTTGACATACCGTTAAGAACAGAATATAAGAGAGTCAATTGTAATGTCAAAATGAATTATAAAATGATCTGATACATTCGTTTTCAATGTTATTAAAAGATTTCGAAGACTCACGAACGATTCGCTGCGAAGAAAATCGCCAATGATTTGATCATTTTAAAATATTAAAAATCAATAATCAAACATCTGCATGATTTGAAATCTATAGTAACGATAGCAATTCATGCAAATATCGAAAGAAAAGGCGGTGCAAATTGTTGGTCGCACTGGAAAAAGTCTAACTTTTGAATTGTTGCCAAAGTATTACCTTTTCTAGACTGTTAAGGAATTTGACCTTTACGAATCAAAACTTACTAGTCTACTATTCCAAATACAAAAAGAAGTTTTGATTAAGCTAGGTTAATAGCAGAATTGTTTGTATTTTTTAAGTGATCATGACTTTTGAGACATTCTGTATTATTTATTGATTATTCATTTTCAATGATTAATAAAAATGAAAGCTTTACTCGATCCAATCTAATTGTGCATTTTGATGTTTTGTTATAGACAGAAAAATCTAAACTCTTTTAAAATGTTTAATGATTTGTTATTTAAAATATCTAAGATAAACAATTTTTATAAGAATAATATAAATATTAATTTTTTCTTCTTATTATTATGTACATATCGTTTACCTTTAGTTGAATAATGATCTTCGATAAAAATGAATTGATTATAAAGAAATTTTTACAAGATCTAAAAAAAAGTTTATGTTCAAGTTGTATTATTTTTAATCAATTAATAGAATTTAATTAGACTACAATAATCAAATTTTAATATTCGATGGTAAATATTTAATATATGATTGAAAATTTCTGATCAATACTGATAAATAATCAAAACTAAAGTTGATCATATTTTATTGATGAATTTTATATTTTGAGAAAGATTTCGATAAATGTATAAATAATAAATATTTCTTAAAATGCTTAGATTATATTGACAAAGTCAAAGATCATATTTTATTTTGCTATTAAAATCGTGTCAATATTTAAATCTAATCATTAAATCGAAATACGAAAGAGAATTCGAAGAGTTTAGTGGCAAAGATTAAATCTGTCTTTGAATAACTAAATTATTCGTTTGAACAATTTTGAAATTATATTCTTTGCTTTAAAAAAATCAAAAAGTATAAATAACCTTGAAAAATGGAATCAACAACAAAAAAAATTGATAATATAATTATTTTAATTGCTTAATAATGAATGTTTCTCTAATCATTTCTAGATATAAATATTTTCATTATGATCATTTTCTTTTCTATTCATTTATTTTTGTAGATTGATTAAATATAAAAAATAAAATGAATCATAAATATTTTATTAAGTAGTTTACAGATGGAAATAAATTTTTTTTTTATTTACAAAGAACGCTGAGATTCATCATGGAAAAAAAGCGTGTGATAAATTTTGAATGATTAATTATAAGAATTATTTAAAAGATCTTGTTGTTCGTCTGTTGAGAAAGAAATATTTTGTGTTCTATATCGTTTTAAAGTAATTAAATATAAAATAATAATTAAAATTAATGAAGTTAATTTAATAATAATCGCTGTACCAAATAATGTAAATGGAAGTTTATTTCCATTGTAAATAAAACATGAACCACGTCGATGAAACGTTGATTCTGACCAATATAGACATTGATTATCAATAATTATTCCAAATAAAATTGGTGTTGGAATTTGTGCTACAATTTTCATAATACAATTTTGTAAACCTAAACTAAATGATTGAAGTTCATGTCGAACGGAACGTAATACAAGTATTAATTGTGGTGTTGCCATTAATGTTTCAAAAAATGTTACAAGAAATAATATTAATAGAAATAAAATTGTTTCTAATAAACAAAATTTTTTACATGAACCCGCAGAAACATTATCTCCCAATGGTAAACATGTACAATTTGAATATTCCTAAATTAAATATTTATTTAATAATTAAAAAAATAAAATAAAAAGTTATCTTACTGTTCCATTAACAGTTGTGCAACCGGCATAACATGGAGAAAGAAAAGTAATTTGTTGTTGAAAACATACTGGTTGATAAATATAAGGAGAACAATTACAAAATTGTGAACATTGATTATCACTTTCATATTTTATATTTGATTTACATTTAATAAAAATAAGTGATATAAGAAAAATTAAAGATAAAGAACAAGAAATTAGAATAAATTGAATACATTGAAATATATTCATATGATAACGACGAATTAAATATCCTCCTGTTATTGTTCCACATACAGCCGCTGGAACAACAATTGAACCAGTTAATATACTTGATATTGATGATGAGATATTAAATACTGATTCAATATATTTAACCATAAATATTGTGAATGATACAACAAGAATCTATTGAAGTTTATTATTATTATTTTTAATTCTTAGTATTTTAAACTTACGTTTTCTACTGAATTAATCAAAATAATTAACATATATGTTAAATTTTTAACAAGATCCATTATACTATTGAATATTTCTATGAAAAACAAAAGATAAAATAAATATATAATTTAGAAAAAAAAAAGAACTTTTAATATTTGATAATTGACATAATGATTTAATTTGATAATTTTCTATTGAAGATTGATTATGATCATAAACTGATTGATTTGATTCAATTATCTCATTATTATTTTGTTGAAGATGAGAAGGAAATGTAAAAAGAACAATTGAAAATAATATTAATAAACAAGATGATAAAATAAATCCTGCCCACCAACGTCCAATCCATTGAGGATCATTTTTTGTTATTCCATCGAGATTTTTATCATCACCAATATTTATCCATTGAGAGAGAAATAGAGAACCCATTAAAAAACCAATAGCAGGTCCTAATGCTGCCATTCCATATAATATACCTACAATATTGATAATTCAATCTTGAAAATTTACAAGAAATTTTTATTGATTTTGCTTTTTTCAACGAAACAATTTTATTTTCCAAGTTTAAAACACATTTAATGACTTTTCCTAGTTAATTATTTAAGTTAATATTCATATTTAAATCAAAAAATCTTCTGTAGAACAATACCGAAAAAAAGTCTTGAAGAATAGTAACAAACTCATCAAGAAAAGTCTTTAATTATTCTATGTGATCTTCTTCAATAAAATTTTTATTTTTAAATTCGACTTCATATGAGTATCATATAGTATAAAAACTTATTTATACATTGCTTTATTCTTTTATTATAGTTTAAAAAAACGAAGTCGATCAAATTTTTTACATTTAAGAAAATAATGCAATAGAAAATCGTTCAAAACTCATGAAAAAAAATCAATTAATTAATAACAGTTGAATCAAACTTCAAATTTGACATAAGATAAGACAATATGTGTTTTACTAGAGGATCTATGAGATTAACATAGTGATTATGTATAACAAATTAATTTTAAGATCTAATAGAACTATTCTCAGCTCATTTTTTAATCTTTTCTACTGCGAAAAATCAAAAAATAAATTGAGAAAGAAAAAGAAACTATCGTCTTCTGCATTTATCATCTATAAAAATCTTCTATTATTATATTGAAAAAAGTCTTTCAAATATCATTATTATGTTTTATCACTGTTCTTATTAATCGATGAGTTTCATTTATGAACATGGAAATCTTTGAAAAATTTTTTAGATTTTCTTATTTAAAAAAAAAGAAATTTCAAAGTTAAACATTTTATTTTAACTTGAAGATTTGAATATTCGAAGGAGAACTTAATCAAATTTGATAAGATCATAAATGAATGTATTATATATTAGGAATTCCATATAATTATACGTAAACTAAACAAAACGATTAATAATTGATTTGTTAATAAACATTATGATAATGTTAGAAGAAAAACAAATGCAAAACTTTTTTTTTTCATTATTATTCAAGACCAAAATAAATATCTGCAATAAACTCAATCATTAAAAATTATTTTTCATAAGAACAAAGTTAAAACTTAGTGTTAAATTATCGTGACAAACAACAGTTATACATGTTATTTTCATTAAAAATTTTCTTACATCATCTTTCGTTTTTACTTTTTCCATCTAATTATTAAAGCAAAAAAAAAATTTTCTCAATAAAATAATTCAATATAAACATACTTGTATAAATCGGTTGATCATCTTTATTAAGATGATCAGTTAAAAATGTTATTCCTAATGTATAAAAAGGACTTGCACCAATAGACATTATAATCATTGATACAATAATTATATAATAAGTCCATGTTGGTTGACTTTCAATTATATTATTTGAAATTTTATTATTAATTGAATTTGGTATTAAATAATTAAATATTGAATTAGATGATAATATATAAATATTTTCTGAATGATTTGTTAAATTTTGTGAACATAAATAATCTGATGTTTCATTTGTTGAATTATCAATAATTGATTTATGATAACCATTTATAAAATAAGGTAAAATAAAAAGAATATTTCCAATTGAAAATAGAAAAGCTCCTAAAGCAACAATTTTTGCTCGATTATATTGTGAACCAATATATGATACTAATGGTATTGATAGAACACCAATTATATCATAACTACTAAATGCTATTCCTAAACGTTCAGTGGAAAATCCATAATAAGT